TACTAAATATTAAACATTATTGTGCAGCACATAAGATCAACAGAACACAGTGTGCTTTGAGGTAGGAGCCAAAAAGGGTGTAGTTTGTGGGTGTGACCACCCACCCTTTTTGGCTACTACCTCAAAGCATACTGTGTGCTGTCGATCTTACGTGCTGCACAATAATATCCAATATTTAGTATTTACTGTTATATTCACATAGATTATCGTGATGATGTTGTTTATTATATTGCTCTCTTTTTTGCTTGTTTTCTCTTTTTTCTTTCTCAACAGGTGATCGATATATATTTATGTATTTTTTGTCTGTTTGTTTTGTTTGTTTTTTGCCCTTTATCACCGTTCCTCTTCCCCACTGTTTTTCTTTCCCTACCTCTTTCTTTCTCCCTTTTCTTTCCTCCAGTCATGTCTGTCCCGTGTGTAGCAAGTGAAAATAAAATAAACAATAAAAACAAAGTCAATCAAATGGACCAATACGGCAAGGCCGGGATGGTCCATTTGGTAAAGTTAATCCGTTGGGCATCTTTCTTCGCCTGGCAAAAGAACCAAATGGGACAGGCGGGGGAAAAAAAAACAAAAAAACAAGTCCTTAAACATTCCTTCTGTCAGAAGCTGATGAAAAAATACAAAAATATTTTCCCTTTTGTTCCTTTATCTGTTTGTCATCAGTCTCCCTGAGTGTCTGAATTTAGTATGTCAGATGATGAAGAAAGAGATCTATCAGCAGCCTCATCATTCTCTGCACGAAGACTGTTAGCTGAAAGTACTGTATGCAAAAGTCTTGAGTCACCCCTCACTCCTTTATATTTTTCTTGGAAAATGGGAAATAGGTGCACTGATTTATTGAAACATGTATTCACAGAAATACAGTATGTCAGGCAAAAAGTTTGTATAGTTCTAAAGAACTTGAAAATCAAGATTTTCAGACGCTTTCCAGATAGGATTGTATGGTGGATCAAAATTTGATGACATTCATAATTGCAAACAAGATCTCCAACACCACTGGTTGAAATGGAGCTACGAGCTATGACAGAGCCTCCGCTGTGTTGTAAACTGATTTTCAGCCCAGTTCTTGTTTAAGTTTGGCATTGTTTGGCATTTTTCAGAGATTCAAATAAAGATATTTTCCATATACTGAAAGTAAAATAAGAACGTTTCAACAAAAAACAACAAAATATTTAAAAATGTAACATAAAATGTATGCTAGTAGTAGTAGTAGTAGTAATATATAAGGATCAAAGAACTATTTACACAAATAAATTTTAAGAATGAAAACAGAGAAAGAAAGAGTAAAAGAGAAAGCATCACATTTAAAACCAGGAGAAACAAATAGACAATGAACCTGAAATCTTATTGTTGTTATAGCTTTTATTCACCTTTACCTCTGCTGTCAGTAAGTTGTTGTGATGATGAGTTTGACTGACACCTTCTGTATTTGCTCACCTCGGTTACATTCCTCCATCTGACAGCAGTCAAGGGGTTATTACAAGAAACCTTCTTGTAAATGAAAACAACTGGAACATCCAGACTTTGTGTCATCAGACTGTCAGTCACTGTTAACACTGATGTTTATCAGCATTTAGTAAGTGTAAGTTGAAGCATAACATATTTAATTTACAGTTTACATTCTTTACCACAGAAATTTTGAAAACAGTGGTATATTTCATCCGTTCTCATTAGAAGGAAAAAAAAACCTGTGAGACAAATGATTTTGTAAAAAAAAAATCCTTTTATTTTAGAAAAATGTGACTGTGCTAGCTCACAATTACACATCATGTCTGAATAGTTTTTTCTCTTCACGCTATTATTGGGTGAAAAATTATGGCTTGTTAGGGTTATTTTAAATCAGTGGAAAAAATAAATAATATAAAGAAACTTTCAGAGTGGCCAGACAGATTTAATAATTGGATAGAAAGAAAGAAAATATTAAGGTATATAATATCCTTATTTATAGTAAAAGTTTATATAAAAGTGGGAAATTTATGGAAAAACACTAAAACAGAAACTCGGAGTATAGGATGATTTTTTTTTTTATCAGAAATTTACATTTTACATTTAGAACACTCAGGTTTGGTCAGAATATTTCCCTCCTGTGCTGGCTGTACTACATACCACATAGAAAACACAATACAAAACAAAACATGGAGGAAAACAGAAAGCCCGAGACCTGCATGCAAAACAATAGAACATGATCCATCAACTTTGCTTTAAAGAAGAATTTTGGGGTTGAGAAGCCATTTGAGTCACGACTGACATTTTGAAACAGGTGTTTTGGATTCAAGCATTCTAAAGTGACAAACATACACCAAGCTTAAACATATATGAAAACAAATATCAGTGGTTGTACTATCAACTACAGTTAGTACAAATCATTTAGTTCATAGCAACAAACAGAAAATTCAAGTACTTAAAAAGAGAAAACAAAGACAGATTTTAAGAGGCTGTTTTGCAGATGAGAACTTCTATTCTCTTTATTTCATCAGTCATAATAATTTGTCTCTCTGTTAGCACCTGGTTCATAAAACGGGAAGTCGTGAATTTTTTATAAATGATTGCTTTCATGTAAGTTAACATCTTGTGCAAACATAACAGCAAATGAATGAAATTTTCAAAACTTTCTCAGTGTAATTTACATAATATTATAATACCTCGTCAAAACCATAACTTCTTGGGGAAAGCTACTAACTTGTCAGTACAAAAAATACCTGATTTGACCACCAACACCTTCTCAGAACAAGTCAGTCACCTGTCTGAATAAGACAGTAACTTGTAACCTGTAAAATAATGTTTTACTCTGGCAGAACAATAATAGTTACTTGAAACACGATAGGAATTTGTTCAAGCAAGATAGTAAGATACTGCCTTAAGAAAACAAAAAGTACTATATTTATCAGAAACATAACACCTTGGTAGAAAACAATGTGTTGAAATGAGATAGTAACTTGTGCAAATACAATAATAAGAATATTAATTTCTTGAGAAAAGGAGAGGAACTTACAGTCATGAGAAGAAGAAAGTTTTCACAGAAGTGTAGTTTTGTGAAAAACCAAGTGAACCCAATGATTTACTGGCTTCTAGAGGGGGATTCTACAAGATGTATGGATGGAACTTAAAGTAATCGGTTTCTGTTTGACATTATCATGTCCCATCATTGTGTAAGAAATTTGGCCCACTCCTTTTCTTTGATGGTGCTTCAGCTCATTGAGTTTTGCACAGCTCTCTTAAAGCCCCACAACAGGATTTCAAACAGGTTGAGGTATGGACTTTGCCTGGATCATTGCAACACCTTCATTATTTTCTTTTTCAGCCATTCTGTTGGAGATTTGCTGTGTTTGAGATCATTGTCTTGCTGCATGATCCAACTTAAGTGCTGGACAGATGATTTGACTTTAGAATACTTTGGCAGGCAGACAAGTTCATGGTCACCTCAATGACTGCAAGGTCCCCATGTCAAGTGTCTGCAAAACAAGCCCAAATCAACACCCTTCCACCACTGTGTTGACGGTTGGTATGAGGTGTTTGTGCTGAGGTGCTATGATTGGTTTTCTCCAAACATGATGCAGTGCATAATGGGTAAAAATCTCCACTTTGGTCTTGTCTGTCCAAAGGACATTGTTCCAGGAGTCTTGTTGTTTGATCAGATGCAACTTTCCAAACCTAAGCTGTGCTGCCATAATCTTTTTAGAGAGAAGAGTCTTTCTTCTTTCTAAAAAGATTTGCTGAGATGTCCACTCCTCTAAAGATTGTGGCATTGTGTTAACATACATCTGAATGCCCAAGACAAGTAAAATGCCCAAACTTTTGCTTTTGAAGAGGTCACACTCACTAAGGATCACTGACTAAAATGCATTTAATTAGCAGCACCTGTCTGCTACTTACCCTCAAGAATAGATAGTCTGGAAGAAGACAGTACCTGCAGTGACTTATGACTTGTCAGAACATGACAGTGCCTTCTCTGAAGAAGAGAATAACTTTTTGGAGAATGATAACTTTCTTGAACTTCACAAAGATCTACAACACAATGACAGGCTATGCATGTTCAATACATCAGTTAATGTTCCAGCAAGCACTGACTAACAAATGTAAACATTCCCATTTGCAAAGTGACTGATTGGGCGAACATGAAGCAGAAGGGGAAAAAAAGGAATTTTGCTGATTCAAGCATGGTTTTATAGTGGGGATGTATATATTTAAAACAAGGGCTCTGAGATTCTACACATCATATCCCAGAAAAAGCTACCAGAGCAGCAAAGGCACTGATGGGGATGAGCGTTGCAAGTCACAGCTGTCCGAAAAACCACGTCAGAAAAACAGAAATTAATACCAAAAGACATATATTAAAATAATGTTACTGGTGCAAAAATTAAAAACTATACTTCAGACGCGCTTCTTTAATATGACAGCAGTGACAGGCAAGTTGGGATATTATCAGAAACCCTTGAATTTAAGCTAAGGTGAAAGTGTAAGACAGAGGTATGCAGCTGTGAAACTGTTGAGAGGTTAAAAAGCAGTTACTGAAGTCTTTGTACAGAATAAATAAGCAACACAGTGAATACAGGAAAAGTTGAAGTTTCAAGGTAAGAGAAGAGGCAACCTCAAGGATCCCAAGTTCATTTCAAGGTCCCTCAGAAGTAAAACACTGTTCTTAGAAAATAAACTCCAAGATTGTTGAACATTTGGTCACCTTCATCTCTACTCCCTTCCTCAACACACAGACGAAGGCAGGTTTCTGTAGAGAAATTAGGACATTTATGCAGGTCAATGAAACGTTTTTCATCACATAAACAACTAAACTAAGCTTTTATTGTGCAGGAATGTCAGCAAATCTAAGAAGAAAATCTGAGGAGTTAAACAATTCCCAAGCTGAGATGTTTGCAGTGATGCTAATCCCTTTCAGCCACTCTAGATAAAGTCTTACTCTTAAGGAAATACATGGTGAGAATTGTTCTCTACATTTCCATCAAATACTCATTCTTTGGTCAAGACTGGGAGGTCAGGAGATACTTTTGGTTCTATGTATAGTTAGACTCTGAGACAACTTTTGTTGTTTTAGCTATTTACAAAAGAATATTAAAGTTCTTGTAAGAGTTCACTTTTTGAGGGGTTTAATAGAAATAAAGCAAGAACCATTGAAGAATTAAATGTATTTGTATACATAGTCGACTGTTTTCAGACACTCAAATGCAGTTGAGCAAAACAATGAAAAGCTGGACAAAATTCATAATGTGTGTTCTTCTTCATTTAAGCAGATTGAATATGTGGAGATGGTTCCAAGTGAGGAATTTGGAAGCTGCATCTGTGCAGCAAAACAGTATGTCCTCAGACTGCAAGTAAAATAAATCCATCAGAGAAAACAGTGGGAACATTGGGCAAGCATGAATCACAAATGTGTTCATTCAGAGAACAAAACAACACACTGGTAAGTTCACCAACATTAAAACCTGGACCTTCACAAAAGACAACAGAGGGTGATGAGTCCATCTCCATGGAAAATCCCTTCACAAGATCCAGGCAACCAGGAAGTAGATACATGAATACAGAAAAATCACTTAATATAAAAAGATGAGTTCACAGGGAAAATCCAGAGGATTCCTGTATCGACAGAAGCATAGAGCTCAGGAACAGCGTTCTTTGGAAAAATGAATCAGAGATTAACCTCTAGCAGGAAAAGCTGGAGGTAACTTGGAACAAATCATGACCTGAAAGGCACAACACGAGCTGGAACACATTACAGTTGGAAAGCATAGATATTAATGGCTTCAAGTGGCGCTGCCGTTTAATGTTGATATGTTACAAGGCAGAAGAAAAAATATGTTATCTGTTCACGTTAATCCAAATGTAGGGAAACAGTAGAATATTGAACAATTAGACCTGAACCCAGTGGAGGTAAATTTCACTGTTGAAGACAAAACCAAAGCCAAAAAGAGCCGTGAATAAACAAAAAGTGAAGCAAAGAGGATATAACTTGTTTAGTCAATGAGTTCATTGTCCGCAAAGGATTCTCCAGAAAGGGTTACAAATCAACAATGTAGCCTTAGTTTTATTTGAGACCCTGAAAATAAAGGATGGTTTATGCACTGTTATTGTTAAACTGTTCAACTTAAAGTCTGAACTTTGAGTCTATATTAAATGGTAAATGGCCTGCATTTGTATAGCGCTTTTCTAGTCCATAGGACCCCAAAGCGCTTTACACTACATTCAGTCATTCACCCATTCACACACACATTCACACACTATATTAATCTTCATATTCATCATATAATCATCATATAACTTTAATATGTTCTGGGACAAAACTGAAATAACAAATTACATATTTCCCTAAGACATGGTCATCTTCATAGACACATCAAGAAATGTAGAAGTAACATTTATTTCAGCTGTACATGACCTGTACAGATGAAATCAGCTTAGCCAACATTTTCCTAGTGGCCCAATATTTTTCAGACTTTCCAAAACCAACGATTTGACTTTATTCCACTTTTGCTTTCAGACATTTTCACAGTTTGCCTGTTTTGTTACAAATCAGTGAACAAATTGGAAACAGCGGCAGCAGCCCAGGGTTGGAAATCAAAACCAAGTCCTAGAAATCTACAAACCTTTATTAAAAATGTAAAAGAAAAAAAGCAAAAGATTTATGTGTCATGAGAGGAGGAAAATTAGAACAATGCTCCTGGCTGGGTCTGGCTATATTGTCTGAATATAAGCCAAGATCAACCAAATATCAGGACAACAGGAAGGAATCGCACATGGTGTAGATTTGTCTGTGGTTCAAAAATTGTATTACCTTAGAGAATGGGGATATGTTTCAGATAATTACTATCTCTGCTGTCCTGTAGCTTTAACTCTGTCACATTTTCCAGTGTACTGTAAATACATTTCAGTGGGTGGGTTTGTTGGTACCTGGTCAGAGGCTGCTGGATGGTTATGTGCTGGAGCTCCCTCTCCTCTCCAGGAATCTGGTCCACCAAACAAGAGAAAATTGGATTAGTTTGCTGGTTTTGGCTGCTGACTGATGAGGTCCAAACAGGCGACTTCCAAACCACAAAAAAAAAACCCCAAATTAAACCGAAACATAAACAGGCGAGCAGAGAGAGGAAGGAGGATTATTGTTTGTATGTTTCTGCACATCTGAGGTCAGAGATAGTTTAAAGCCACCCGCCAGACCATTCCTGCTATTTTTAAATGTTTCCAATGTTTTTCCTCAACTCAACTCTCATCATGATGGAGATTAGGCTGAGTTTAAAGCAGTTTGTTTGGTCTGAAGCTTCTGCACAGGCCGTTAGTGTAACCGCTGAGGAAGTTTCACTGGGTTTTATTTCCCTGAGTACAAAAGATATTTTTCATACACTTCACGATGAGAGTTTAAAATCATCAACTTAACCACAAAAACCTACAGAGTAAACTCATTACCAGTGGCATGGAGTTTGGATATGATTTGTTTGAGTTTGGCTTTCATTCATTGTATTTTTCATTTTAACATTTATGTACAAAGCATTTCTAAGTTATATTGAAACATTCAGTTTTTTTCCGGTTGCACACTCGTTTTAGCAATTCAGAAATCATTAAATTCCTTGCTCCATGTTAGTCATAGTAGGATTAATCAGAAAATGCAGCTAACATGAAGATTATTCCTTTAGCTCTTTTTAAATTGGATGTTCACACCTTCAGCTTATGTTCACTCTACAAACAGCAATTAAAAAGCTTACATTTGAGTCTGTCGCACAAATTCTGCAAAGTGTTGATCCCTTGCGCACAGCTCGATTATCCTCAGGCGTTCTTGAATCTCCTGCAGAGAGGTTAGAGGTCAGCACAGAGAAAACATGTTTGTGTGAGAGTCAGTCTAGAGGAGAAAGAGGAAGGGAAGAACGAGGATGAGGAGTTCCTGCATGTAAAAATACCTGTCTGCGTAGTACAGACCTCCTGCTGAGACTGAAAACCTCTGATCCAGAAAAATGTCACAACAGTTGGCCGGCTCTGTCTGAGGTGTCAAATTGATTTTACTTGAAGTAAAGCTTTGTGTAGGAGGTGAAAGTCACTTCCTTTACCAGCTGCCCTGTGGTCCAGAACTATAAAAATCAAACCCATAAACTGGGTCCTCTTGAAAAGTTTCCTTTTCTAAACATTGCTGATGTTATAAAATCAGCACCCTTATTGTTCTTGATACAACATGCTCAGTAGTTACCCAATTCTATGCTACATAATAAATAAATGCTACTCCTAAAACTAAATAGAAATTCATATTTTTCAACTCAATATCTGACACTCAGCTTGTTTATTTAAGCTACCATTTTCACTATTTGAGGGCATGTTCATGGTGTTCCACAAGGCTCAGTTTTGGGCCCATATTTTTTTGCAAATGCAACAAATTCCCCCTGTATGCAGATGACACCCAGCTTTACGCAGCAGAAATGTTGCCTTTTCCTACCTCTTTACTGAGTGTGGTGTTTTGATAGATGTTTTTTATCTCTTCACTGCTGAGGTCTTTAGAATCGCCTACACTGGCAGAGCTGCTGAAGTGAGGGAGCCCGCGATCAGACTCATGGTAGTACTGGGGCACGTCATCATTGTAGCGGCGGTAGTACTGGGCAGTAACAGGGTCACTCTCAAACATCGGGTTGAACTTGGTGGCACGTTCAAGTGTTGGCAAACTGTCACCTCGCCTGAAAGACAACGCAAGTTCAAAAAGTTTGCTTTCTAGAAATGTATTTTTTCCCATTTAATTTGTTGTTAAAACTCCAATGATATTGTTGTACCGTAAGGGGTCCTCTGTGTCCTCCCCATCATACTGCTCTTGTAACGACCTAGCCAGGAAAAAGATAATCCCAGCCGCCACCATCAGGAAACCAGCCACTGAGGCAATGGCGATGCCCACCACCAATGGCTCGGAAACATACTCTTCACAGTGTTCACCACGATACCACCAATTTTCTCCAACACGACACCTGCAGCAAAGATTACAAATTTGTAGTACAAATTTGCAGTAAAAACACCAAAGATTATACTGAAATGGTCTAATGGTATGCTTTCAGGCTTTTTCAGCCCTCTTTTATTTAATATTTCTAGAACTGGCCTAGCAGTAATGTAAGCATTACATTAAGTAATATAATGCTGTAATTTCCATTCAGTATACAGCTGAACATCTAAATGCTTCTCAGATGTCCTTCAACCTAGGAACATTTTGTGTTCATATTATTTATATTCTCCAAAGTGCTATGTAGCTGTTTGCAGATGAAAAAGGTATTTATGTTTAAGAACAACTGAGACAGATCATACAAAGTGCCTTGTATTTTGTTATAACATTAATCACATATTCACAAGGGCCACAAAGGACAATTTAATTTTAGAAATATATAATGCGAATCAAAAAAGCTTAAAACTTAAAAATGCAATTTTGTTGATAAGAAAAAAATTATCGAGGTAATATAAGCAGCTTTTATTTTGGAGGTAGTGCCCTCTCTTAACATTTATCTTTAATTGTCAGAGACTGTGCATAAAAATACTGACTTCATATCATAAAAGATACTTTATACCAGAATTCACTACTAGCTAATTTCTACCTGCTGTACCTGCAAAGGATCTTTTTACTTTCAATGGGGAAAAAGTACTACCTACATCTGTATCTACAGGACATTAACTGCTTAGAAAGATGCATTTTATTTGAAGAAAGCTGACTGTTTTCTCTTTATTTTAAAGTCTTCAAATTGGTGCAAGCAGACATATTGCAGTATATTTATACATTGTAAACTAATTAAATATGTGGTAATATACTGAAGAATGAAACCAATGAGGCATAAAATACAGAAACATTGTGAAACAAGAACAGCGATATTTAATTTTCTCTTACCTGCAGATGGCACCCTTGCCAGGGATGATGTCACATTTTCCATCATTAAGGCAAAAATCGTGTTGCACCTCACAGATGCTCTGACATGGCAGGCCATCCACACTCAGATATCCAGCGTTGCACACACACTCTGCTTCACTTGACCACTGATTCACTATACACCTGGAAAACTTGTTACATGCCTGGAACTTACAGGGATCAGCCCGGTCACCTAAGGAACAAACAGTGGAAAATGAAAGGAGCAATTAGAAGACACAGTGTCATATGAAACCATAAGAAAGAGAAGAAGATGCCATCCTACATAAACAGAGGTAAGGGTTCAAAGAGCTCTAGTAAACTCCAGGCCTCAGGAGTCTGCATCTGGTCAGCACTCAAATGACAAAATGTTTGTTGGCCTGGTCTTAATAAAGACAAAAGCAGCACAAGGATAAATCAGTTTATGTTTATGTACTTCAGCATACCCTAGAAAGTGCTGGAAAATCTTAAATGCTTTTCTTAGGCTTTTTCAAGTCTTTTTTAACACAACAATCAATGACTTTAAATATTTCCCATGGAGACACCAGACCAACAACAAGAGTCCTGACTGTTTGTATCTTGGGAAAATCCTTAAGAGTTCAAGAACAACCAACCTAACTAACCTTTATATGACCCAATAAGGTTGACATGTGCTTGTGCAATGGAAAACCTGCCTCGAGAGTACAGGGAAGATGAGAGGAGTAAACTGATTATATGTACACAGTGAGTCCTGATGCAGTGACTCACTGCTATAGCTTAGGGTGATCAGGCAGTGAGGTGCTCCTCTGATTGGCTCAGACAGATTACAGAGCTACAGCTCAGCAGCAGAGGTGGAGGGAAGATGGAGTAATTCCTCCGATAACAGTAAATAAAATCTCATTCTTCTGTCGATAAATCCTAAACTCTGCTGAAATGCAAACATGTATGTCACTGGACTGGCAGATTGGGTTACATGTAAGTCTTGAAACACTATTACAGCAACAAAAAACTTTCTTTTTGGACCTCTTGGTGGCAAATTGTTAATGATGTGTTAAGTGATTGTTCCACTCAGAGTTGTTGTTTTTTGCCAAATTCCACTATTTTAAACTTACACCACTTTCTTAGTTTTGGACCTGTCAAACTACTGTCTTCCTCATAGGATTAGAGGCATTTTATATTCTCGTTGAATGTTATGATTCTGCAAAAATGTCCTGGTGCTAATTACATAAAAACAAAAATAATACTTTTCAGGAAAACGGGACAGTTATTTTAGCAACATAGTATACAGACCTAAAGAATTAAAAGTGAACCACAGTGTTAATCTGAATTTAACAAGTAAAATGATTTCTCCCTCCTTTTCTCCCTCCTACACCCGTTTACGAGCTTCATTTAACACATACGTCTTTACACTCCTTTCAAAACCCAGATAAGAATCCTCACTGTGTACACTTAAAGACCTGCAGTTACTGCAACTATAAAAACCAGTCTAGGCTCAAAGGAGCAGCTCTAAGCAGCGGCCATGATGATGTCCCATCAGGGTGAGTCAGTGTGTGCTGCTACTGATCACGTTTCTGCCAGACAGATTATCTCGGGTATTAGATCGCAGTCCTGACAGCTGAAGCCTGTCAGAGCTGCTCAGACACTGCACATACAAATTTAGGATTTAACAGTCTGAGGAGCATCATGGCAATAAGTGCACAAGTAAACAGTAGCTTTGATTTCATTTCTCTACAGCAATAAACACATCTGACTGTATTCCACTTTATTCTACATTAAAAATAACTTACTGGAAAAAGAAAAACTATCAGTACATGACTGGAAAATAAATTTATGTGTTCAGATTTTGAAGGTATTTATTTATTCATATAGGTATTGAAGGGATCGTTTCTGTTTACCCTGAAATTCAAGCCTTAGATGCATAAAACCATGAATCAACTGGATAAAATTTTTTAATTAATTCTGTACATTGTGGTTAAGTCGTCACATATAGAAGACAAATGTGTCCTGGTTTGTCCCTAACACCTAATCAGTTTAGGGATGTTGTTTTTCGTGAAGCCCACTGTGATCATAATTGAAATATGCTAAAACTGGAAGGCACTGATAGATACATTCAAGATGCTGGTCTCATAATTTTAGTAACTGTATTAAAATTCAAGGGTCTGTAGTTTTAGAGAAAAACATTTTCAACTTATGAAACAGTTATTTTTAATGAATGTAAACTGAATATTTTCAGAATAAAGATAACACCTCAGTGTCAGTTTTAGAGACCCATAACTGGCAAAATTAGCATCTTCATTAAAGCATTAGATGTAATTCTGCACGAGCCTGGTTCTCCCAAAGGTCCCTTCCTGTTCCCTTGTAACAGGAAGGAACCCACTATCGCAAAGTGCTCACTCATGTTGGTGGGGGGGTGGGGGGGTCATCTAATTGTTGGGTGAACTGATTTGAATTGAATCCTACCTGACTCAACATCAAGTGAGTACTTGTCAATTGCGAGGTTCATGGTCTGATAGGCAGTGTTGGCAAAGTCTTCCAAGATTAAATAGACAACATTGGTGACTCCTCTGTGTACTGGTTTACCAAACCTCATCCTACTGTTTACCACAATGCTGCCATTTCTAAAGTTAAGGATCTCCAGGTTCTGGAAGTTGTTCAGGTTTGACTCCAGGTATGGGACCAGCTATGAGGTGAAGATAAAGATGTGTTAGTAGCATGGCATATGAATCTAGAAGGTTCCTATTCACTGAGTCATGATTCTTTGAATCCTCACCAGCTGGAGGAAACGCTGCTCCAGAGCCTTGTATTCCGGGGAGCTCTTGTTGAACAGGTCCATTGAGAACACCATATTGGTCACCCTCAAGCTGAAGAAAATTGTTAATGCCCTGCCAGGTCGGGTTGGCAATGCAATGGCATCTAAATCAGAGGCCTGAGCTCCACTGGAGAAGCCACTGCTTTCCCCTTCAATTGACACCCCGCCATACTGGAAGACATCAAAGCTGACAGCGATGCTGGGCACATCAGAGACATCATGTTCAAAAGGTTGGAGTTCAGTCACAGGAACGTGGTCATCAACTTTCTGCACAGAGGAAGGAACAACGACTGCTGGTTTTGACTGTGGATCTGAAAATAGAGTGTGAACTGGGGTTTCACTAAGATCTTCATGTCTTGTGTCCTCACTGAAAACCACAGCTGGTTTTGACTGAGGAACCTTTGGAAGTGGTGTGTTTTTTGAAGCTTCATTAAGATCTTCATGGGTTCGATGCTCATGGTGAACCACTGCTGGTTTCGACTGACGACCATCTGAAGGCGGAGCCCTCACTGGAGCTTCAGGAACATCTTCATGGTGCTCATAATGAATCACTGCTGGTTTTGACTGAGGACCATCTGGAGAAGGAGTGCTTACTGGAGGTTCAGGAAGATCTTCATGGTTTCGATAATCATGGTAAACCACTGCTGGTTTCGACTGACGACCATCTAAAGACGGAGCCCTCACTGGAGCTTCAGGAACATCTTCATGGTCCTGATGACGAATCACTGCCGGCTTTGACTGAGGACCATCTGGAGAAGGAGTGCTTACTGGAGGTTCAGGAAGATCTTCATGGTTTCGATAATCAAGGTGAACCACTGCTGGTTTTGACTGAGGACTACTTGAAGATGGAGTGCTTCTTGGAGCTTCAGGAAGCTCTTCATGGTGTTCATGGTAAACAACTGTTGGTTTTGACTGAGGACCATCTACAGGTTCTGTGCTTAGTGGTGCTTCATTAAGATCTGTATGCTTTGTGTGCTCATGGTGAGCTACTACTGGTTTTGACTGAGGACCATATGGAGGAGGAGTGCTTGATGGAGCTTCAGGAAGATTTTCATGGTGTTCATGATAAATCACTGCTGGTTTTGATTGAGGAGCATCTGAAGGTGGTGTGATTACTGAAGTGTTAGTAATATCTTTATACCTTGTGTGTTCATGGTGAAACACTGCTGGTTCATTGTGAACCAGATGGTCTAACCTATCTGGAGACTGTGTGCTTATTGAGGATACAGTAAGCTCTTCATGGTTTAGTTGCTCATGATGAATCAGATCATCATCATCTGGCACTGAATCTGACACTCGAGTGAATGGCGAGTCCTTCTCTGGTGAGAGTGCAATGCTACTGTGGTGATCTGGCCTTACTGATGAAGTTGGGACTGGAGTAGTAGTTGTTGTAATGGCGATCATCACCTCATCCACAATCAGGTCCTCATTTTGTACTTTATTTGCTGGTGCTGTTGTTGTTGTCCCGATATGCTGTTCTTCCAAAATTTCAACCTGATCTTGGGCTTTTATTCCTGCCAGTAGCAGTTCAGGTTTTTCTGTAAGAACTTCAACTATTGGTGGTGCATCAGTGATGGCATCAAAGCTGAAATCACTGCCCGTGATTGTGTGTGGGGTAGCAGGGCTGTCCCTATCAGGTACTTTAGGTGGTCCAGATATAACTGTAACTTGAACATCTACATTCTCAGGTCCATTTTCTGCACATTGAGATTCAGTTGTAACCATTGAAAGCTCTATTGTTGTTTCACTAGGCACTTCCACCTCTTCAGTGGTTTTATGAAGCCCAATAGCTAAATCCGATGGTCCAGTAAAAACAGCTTCCTCCTGAGTCCAAGCCCCAGGTTCAGGAGAATCTGTAACTACTCCCACAGGGGTTTGAGGCTCAGTCAAGGAGTAGTCATCATACATGCCAGACGCTTCCACTGTTTGTACAGAAAACTCGACAGCCAGAATTTCTTTGGGAGAAAAAACAGGTGCATGAGTTGTGGTTGAGTATCGGGGATCAGTGCTTATGTGCGGAGTCACCAGGACCTCATCCAGAAAAGGTTTTTCAATATGTCCTTCTGACGATGCTTCTTCAAAAACAGGAGCTGCTGTTGCTTTTAAAATAAATTCTACTCCCATGTCAACCAAAACAGATTTCTTAGTAGTTAATGGTTCAACAGCAACCTCGCCTAAATCAATGTCCTCCTCTTCAGTCTCCTCCAGGTCAGGCGGTGGGAGCATGTCCAGGCTTCCACCTTCATTGTCACTGAATGTCACTGAAGTCTGCCAAATCCAAAGATCAGTTTCCTGGTCGTCTCCAGAGGACCCAGAGCCAGAACCATCATTCTGAGTGAGCCCAGGTATTGTCTGCTGGTTTACAGGAGGGGGTTGTCTGGCTGCAGAGGAAATTTGAGGACTGACAGCATCATTCTCTCGGTTGGCTTTGTCACTGGCAGGGGGAGAATTACTCAAGAGGAATCCCTCATCTTCAATTTTTCCATCACCTGTAGAAACGAGAAAATCAAGAACAGAAGAGGTTTATTATATATTATTATATATTCTTGTATATATATAAAATATCTAATATTTTATATACATATACATATATACATATATATACATATATACATATATATATACATATACATATATATATACATATACATATACATATATATATACATATACATATATATATACATATACATATACATATATATATA